CAGCAGCTGAGGTGAGTTCATATCTACTTAGTTTTTATTCCTAGCTAATGTACTGTAGCTTTGGGCAACTCCTGCCCTCTTCTAGATTCTGTCAGAAAGATTCCCTATGGAGCAGGAAGAGGAGATGTCAGACCCAACCCTTCTATTAGACCAGACTGGGGTAATCCTGGCATGGTATCTCCTGGGGTACTATCCAAAGAGTTTCAGGTGAGCTCCCCAAGTTAAATTTCCATACATGCCTCATTGATGACTTTGGTTGGTGGGACTGTTCCCAAAACCTGGAATTGCTATTCCCAGATTTATCAAGCTCCAAAAAGGTAGTTGACTCCAGACACAGACTTGGATGCTCACTCTATCAATTACAGGCCAAGGTTTTTTGTTCCGAGGTAGTTGGCCTAACAAGTGACGGAGTAAGTACTCTGTCTCAAGTATCAAATACTAGACTTTATTAAACCAACCTAACGAGTGACTGAGTAAGTACTAAAGAACTATCAGTAAATAAAAGGAGTGTATAGCTAAATAATGTCTCACCTCAGTCTCGAGTATCAAATACTAGACTGAGGTGCATAGAAGAAAAAGACCGCACAAGTGGTTGACGTGATTACCTAATCCATCCTCGATGTACTCTATGTATCACCAATTTACAACAAGGTTCACAACAGGTAAGTAACATCGTCTAGATCGTGTGCTGTGCATGTCTCACATCACACAGCTTCCTCTGCTCTCCAGCCAAGCAGACTGGCTCCGAGTTGCAGATCTGCGGAGGTGTGCAGCACTCGCGAAGACCGTCACCCTCAAGGTTAAGTCCTCGGACACCATTGTCAATGTCAAGGCCGAGATACAGGACAAGATGAGCATTCTGCCTGACAAACACCACCCCCCAGATCTCTTTGTTGGTAAGCAGCTCGAGGACGGTCGGACGCTCCCTGACTATGACTATGATGACATTCAGAAGGGGTTGATCCTTCCCCTCGGTATGTCGCCGTCTGTTGAGTCTGTGCAAGCTCACGCGTCAGCCTACCATACTATTCCTTATCTAATTCTTCGCCGCCCGCACGCACCTCATCACCAGCGGGGGGGAGGCTCTGTACCTTAGCCACAGGCTTGTTTGCTGCTTTAATCTCTCGCCTGATGTACCTTATGTCGTCCGTAGTCCGTTCACGTCTCGTTCTCGCTAATCAAGTGATCCGTTCGTGTTCGTTTGCGTTTGCCCGTCTTTCTTTCGTTCTCCCTTCGTTCGAGTGTGCTCGAGCCGTCGTCGCCCTCCCTCTCGGATTCCCCCGGGATTCCTCAGATCTAGCTGACTCAGCAGCCCTCACGGACGCGACCACACAGCCACGGGTAAATTTCTCGAACTAAGTATGCTCCATTTTCTGTGCTCATAAAAAGTAAATGAACCCGACCCGGATTGAACGGATGACCTTGTGGATATTCAATCACATAACCAGGAGTGCACTGGAATCACACGCGCTACCACTGCGCCACGGGTTCATTATTTAACATTGAGCCGATCAATGGTTGTAGTATGTTGAGAGTATCCAGTGACTTAAAAAGGAAACACATCTTGCTGGAATATCAATGACAGTCTACTTGCATAGCAAAGGACAGCACATGTAGATTGCCACATGTTCCTCAGCCCAGGTGGCAAGACATGACAAGAAGCAGAGATTACGGTATGTGAATAGGAGTTCAATTGTGGCTTTGACAAGGACTCACAGATTCAAATTTATGCACATTCATGCAGTATTATTTGATGTACTTGACCCCACTGACACCCAACCATATATACCTGGTATGCATCTGATCCGAATAACCAATCTGTCTAAATCCAAATACTAGTAATAGCCTCTAACTTAATGCAAGAGTAGACATCTCTTTTTACCCTTTCAAGGCTACGACCATCCCTTGATCACGAGGTCCTTGTAGAGACTCAGGATGATGTCATTGGCAGTCAGGGTAATGATCCTGTGTGGTCTACTGTCAGCAGAAACTAAACATCTACGAAATGACTTACGTGTGCGGAGCAATCCTAAGGAAATGTGCCGTCGAACCTGTTCCATGAACAATCAGCTACCGCAAGAGCCTACAACTCGAGCTACTTGCCTTTATACCACCCAAACACTCCTTCTGCCTTGAAAGTCTTCCAGAGACAGTCAATAGGGTTCTTATACAATGTACCCTTTAAGCGACCGTCAGGTAACCGTACTGTTGGTTGGTTGTACACTCGTGTGAGGGCCTAATGGATGTCAGCAGGAAACACGTCTGGAGGGCCCAGCGCACTTACGGTGTCTGCTGGTTGCATCACGATGCACTGCCGATGAAGTCAAACAATCTAGGTAGTTGGTATGTGGCGCTGTCAACATACCACACAAGCACCCGATATTGAGCTACTGGCCAAATATGTCCAGACGTTGTCGGCAGGTAGGATCCCGTGCGTGACGAGCTGGTTCTTAGTCCAGTTGTACGTCGGTAGTTGTACAGAAGAGCCCATTGCAGTTCGGAGAATGGCAGCGTCTATACCACGGACGAGACCTCGGAATCCCTCCGCTTTAAATATCGTCGAGAGAGCATTGAAAGAACTTTTGTAGTGATGTTGTGTGCCGACTGGCAGTGTTGGGGAATACGCCTTCACAAATTCAGTATATCATCCCATATATTAGTTTAGGACTGCTGACCTGCATGCGAGCCTTGATGAGGAATAATGGGTTTCCAAGGGCCGCCCCGACTGCACCGCTAGCTGCACCTGCTGCTATGGATGTGAGAGGGATATGTTCGGTCACAGGCCTGCCTATAACGCGATTTATCGACCTGCGGAAGGGTTCATAGAATCCTGATGAATGTGTTCAGCGTGAGGAACCCCTCGTAACAGCGCGTGACCCACCTAGACGCGATCCGTTGAGGAGAATCTAGAGGCACAGTCATTGGAGATGAATTGAAATAGACAAAATATTTCTTGCCTGATAAGCATACTAACGGAGGCATCAGAAGGAAAGCCCAGTAATAAGCGGCATACGTACCGCTGGACTGAGACCTCTTTGCAGACCACGAATGCCTTCGTTTCTCCACGTCTTTGCAAACACGTCAAGGGGGTTTTTATAGACCTTTTGACCACCGCCCTTTGCGAGCTCGCCTTGAAGTTGCATACGCGTCTTTGCGACTTCCGCGGGATTGGACACAGTCACCTGAGCCTTTGCATGAGGAAACGAGTCCCTTGAAGAGAAAAAGTCGCCACTAGCTCACCGCAATGCATGCTGCCAGACCACCACAGAGAAAACCTTCTGCAGTGGAGAGAGATCGCAATGGGGGTTGCATGGAGGACATGGTAATTAGCAGGCAGTCAGCTAGGCGGCTGGGCAGCGAGGATTATGTATGTATTGGGTGAGTGACTGAAGTTGAAGCGAACTGCTCGGATGTTCTGGGCCCGGACTTACATATATACTGGCGTTACTTAAATAGGTTTTGATCAGTATCCCTTCGTTGTTCCTACAAGTAGCATCTACAAATTTCTGCTGGGTACTCACTTTGTGCAAAGTCCGTTTAAGCTACACCGTATCCAACGTAGTATGTACTACTAGCTTTTCGTAGTTTTGAGCGAGTTTTTGTAGTAGAGGCGACTATGAATATTTGAATTCCCACGGAGCTTTACTCAAGAGTACTATCGCAGACCACATAGTTGGACACCCTCATAGTTGGACAGTCACACAAGGTCACAGAAAGTAATGCTTTGTCATGGCTAACATATTGACACCCCGCTCGGCATTGGGTCGGCACAATGTTTCAGTGTGACGAAGCAAGACAGAAATAAAGACGGAAATCAATGCATTGTTCATGGTAATGAATTTGCACTCCGCTTCGGCCGCTCTCGGCACTGCAGTCACTCCGTTTTTTCTATCTCGATGAAAAATCCATGAAATCATTTAGTTCAACTTCGTAGAGTATTGTGATACAGAATAGATGAGATGTCTTCAAACAGTAAATAAATTGTGAGTGGAATTATGATGTTGTGCAGACTGTCCAACTATGAGGGTGTCCAACTATGTGGTCTGCGATAGTAGTGTTTGATCAGGTCACGGTAGTGCTACCTTCTGGCAGTGCTCACTGCTACTACTAGTACTACTCCCCGTCAGTACTAAAGACAGGACATGTCATGACGACTCTAGCGATCATGCAGCGCCCCAATTTACGCTATGAGGGAGGTCCTGTGATCAGCACTCGGACGGTACTCGTCGTCGGTGTTCTTGCCGTGTCTCTGCCAGCGGTCATCCGTGTCGTTTCGTCTCCGGTCACCCTTCTGATCCTCGCGCCGTTTTTCATCATCCTGGTCGCAGTCTCGTGTCTCCTCTCCAGTATTTCGTTTGCATATGCTCTCGATTCAAAGGTACTTGCACGCAGCAACCCGCTGACCCGTGCAGCTCGTCCACTTGCCTTCTCTACGCCTGCCGCGTGGCAGGCTGTTCTCATCCGCTCACAATGGTCACATAAATCTCCCCAGTCTCTGCCTTCATTGTGTCCAAACATGCCCGTAGCTTCCTCCGCCCTTAATGAAATTATGATCTTCTTAGTTCGTGATTTCGTTTTATCTTGGTACAAGGATATCTCGTCTTCTCCTTCGTTTCCGACTGCTGTTTCAACAACTCTTCATGCTACACTTGAACAATTCCTGCAACGCGCGGCGACTATTGATTTTCCTTCCCTGCTTGTCAAGCGCATACTACCCAAGGTCACCTCGCATGTTGAACAATTCCGTCAATCCGAGGTCGCTCTCCGCGGTGCGGCCCTGGAACGGCACCTCACCCAGTCGGAAGAGCTCGACATGCTTTTGGCTAGCAGATATGCTGGAAAGGGGGGAAGGTTGCATCCAGCTGTAGACAATCTTTCATCCACGTTCACGAAACAAAATGAGGAGATGCACCTCAGGGCGATAGTAGACCGAATCCTCCCTCAAATCCTTCCCGAAAAAGAGGCTCAAAGCAAGACGCTCAGAATAGTTATTCGAGAGATCATAGCTTGCGCCGTATTTTACCCCATTATGGATATGGTCACAGATCCGGACTTCTGGAATCGCACAATTGAGCAGGTGGTGAGTGTCGAGTGTGATCGAGGTTGATCGCCTTCTGAATCTAAAATACAGGCTGGAGCTGCGATTCATCAGCAGTATGTCCCGTCTTCCGAGTAAAGTGAAGCTCCTTTAACTCAGTCCTTTGCAGAAAGCTTATATCCAAAGTACGAAATGTTCTTGAAGCCCAATCTCCTCGACATCATCACCGCGTCTCCTCAACGGTCACTCCTGGAGGAGATACAATCACCATTCGTACTGATGTTCGCCAGTTCGAATCTTTCCTTCGAAGTATCAATCGCTGTTCTTCTCTATTAGACGCGCGTCGCCTCAAGAATGATGTCATGGGCGAAATTCGCAGGACAAGGTTGTTGCTAGGTAAATTGTCATCACATCCGTGTAAAGCCAAGTAACTGAAGTGTAAGTAGCAAATCACGAGAAAGAGGATTGGATCGACGGGGAGAGGACCGAGGACGTCGTGGCCTTTCTGGACAGATTATACACCGCAAAGCGCACGGTCGAGCAGCGAATTGCTGTCCTTGGCGGTGGGCAGGATCTGGTCGGCATGGTCTACTCGGTCGCACGATGAATGTTTATTGATGCTGGCTGTCCATCCGATGCAGATGACTGTCTCCCCTGAAATCAGTGCGAGACCCGGAGTCCCATTCCGAGATGTTCTTAGCACTCCGACGTCCCTCTCATACTTCATGGAGTTTATGGACCGCCGCCATCGTTCGTTGCTTGTGCAATTCTGGCTCACTGTTGAAAGCTTCAAGAATCCTTTGGAATCGGTAGACTCCAACTCTGGGGACGAGGACGACCCAATTCAGGATCCCTCCAATTCGACCACCTTAAGGGAAGATATCTGTATGATCAACGACTTATATTTCACCGCCACTCCCCCTCACCCTTCCCTATCCTCAATCTCAGGGAAGTATATCGATGACATTCGAAATTATGCCTCCAATGAAGTCACACCCAGCATCGTCGAGAACAAGAAAGTTCGCCGGAGTGTCATGCTATCTCAGAGGGAGGTGGAACAAGAAATGGAAGGAGATTTCGAAGATTTCCAGAAATCAGAGCTGTGGTTCCGAGTGACTGAAGACGCCTCATCGGGAAATACTAGGACAATTGGGCCATCAACGTCGATGGACAAGCCACATGTACGGTTTACCTCACCACCTGCAGTGTCCCATAAATCTGGAACACAGTCACTGTCGAGATCTCAAATGCCGCGTTCCGAGTCGTTACCTTCTCTCGTATTCGCCCTACATTCTTCAGAACATCCCCGCCCCGGCTTCCGAGGTCCAACGATCACCCAGCCACATACTGCATCTCGTAGCTACATCGACGTTCTCATGGCCCCTTTGCCGGATACATCTTCAGAGACTTCGCGAGCACCGCTTTTTGATGACCCGGATGATGGGAAACTTGC